TTCCTTAAGATGATCTGAAAAAACCACTAAGTGCAAGGAAGCAGGAACTAGGAGACAAAATTATCACTTCAGGCTTTTTTTTTTTTTTCACCAGAAATCCAGCCAGGGCACAAGATAGAGACAGAATCCCTGATTCCCACTGCATGTTGCACTTGGTGAATTATTTCAGCAGCAGCCAAGGCTAAACGTTTAAGCCCGTTGAAATCTTTCATTTGGAGAAATGTCTGTTTTTCCTCAACATCACTAGACTAATGATGTTGACTGTCTGATTTGAAACTGCATTTTCATTTCTAAATTTACCCGTGTTTTGCGATGAGATGTTGGAAAAAGGTTTTTAAAGACAAAAAAATCCAAACGAAACAAAAAATGTTTAGTGAGTGAATATTTGAAATGTCCTTGTATACAACGTGTATGTACACATCTTCTTGCAAGGAGAGGGTGCTATTGGGAATGTATACATATTGCTGATCCTAAAACAAATAGAAAAAGGAGGGGGCATGTCCTAGCTAATTTAAGCAGAAGGGATCTTAGTGAATCCAATGGAGTTGCGCCTGTGTGTTTCAGGAAACATTTTTATCCCTCAAGATTTTCTGCATGGCCTGTGAAGGTGAATTTCAGGGTCAGCGTTTGAAAAATGCGAATGTCCTTGAGTTAATCACGGCCGGATTTTTCTTTCCAAGAAGTCACGTAAGCAGGGTCTGATGGTTTAAATTGCAAATGGGACCAAGAAAGGGTGGCCTGACTCTAGCGGCAGCTGATAACCGTGCTGTGGCAGTCAGGGCGTGAAGTCTTAAGGAATTATTGGCAGCATTGGCAGCTTTATATACGTAATGACTGAGCAGAATCTTAAGGGAAGATTCTGATCTCACTGACTGCTGTAAATTAGAAATAATCCCAGTCACTTTGAAATGTGTGTCTGTATAATTCGTAGGAATGTGGTCTTGACCGAAAAGCCTGGATTGGACTGTTGCCATGTATGACTCACTTCTTTATTTTGTAACCTGAATTTCCAATATATAAACAGACCTAGAGAGGTGCTGCCCCTGCCTACACCAAATTCTCTAGTGCCTTTTGTCCTTTCAGTTGTTAATGGTGCAGAATGTAGGGCTTCCACCACCTCCTGCCGAGACCTTTCAATGTCTGAGAGCTCTCCTTGTTATGAAGTGTTTCCTGATGTTCAACCTCTATTTCCCTTCACTCGGCGCCATCCCCTTATTTGGAGTTAAATACCCTCAGATCAAAACAGTGACATTTAAAGGCAGGCGGGCAAAACCGGCACACAAAGTTAGCTGCAGCGGGTTCAGAACAGCCTGCGAAGTCTCCTCTGGATCAGACTTCAGACAGGCCAGACAGAGCCCATCCTGGGCAGCCTTCACATGCTCAGTCCCTTCTTCTGCTCTTGCCCTCTGAGAGAGAGTTACAGATCGCAAAGGTTAGTGGGTAATATCTAGATATATACACACACACAACAGTACTATAAAGAGATTATTTCCACAAAGCCCATCAGCATTTCTAAGTCCTTGCAAGCCCCAGTTTGGGCAGTGCTGTATTTACAGGCACACAAGTGAGGCAGCGGGAGCGTCCTGCCTTCCTCTCTGTCTGCTCCTGTGCAGTCTTTGCTGGACAGCTCGGAGCAGCACGCTCACCGCGCTCCCGCCCTCCTTACGGCTCCCACCAGCCCGCGGAGGCATGCTGGCGAGCGTGCTGCAGCACCCAGCTCGCTGCGGCGCTGCTCCTGGGCAGGATTTGCAAGCTTGCCATTTGCTTGGGCATGACTGCGGTGCCCACCACGGCCTCGGGTGCCGCTGCACCCTTGCGGAGTGCCCATTAGAGATGATGGGGAGATGGAACACAGATTGCGCTTTGGCACACCTCAGAATTGCTCTATTTTATGCCTTTTCCTACAGCTCTTGAACCACATCAAAACAAAACAAAGCAGCAATCCCTGCAGCGTTTCAGGTTCCCTCTCCGGCCCTCGTGGCAGCTGCCAGCAATGCCTTCCTCCCCTTCAGCTCGGATTTTTCTCAGAGGAGGGAGGCGATGTGGCACCCGTTCCCTGGGAGGGGATCTGTGGAGGTCCCCAGGCCGGTGCCAGCATGTTTGGCATAGGAGAGAGCCTTGCTCATCGGCCTGGATTAGTTTTAACTTGCTATTTAAACGGCTTACTTTGGTTTATGTAGATATCTAGATATTTCTATCAAAGATTCCCATGGGTTGCCACTTTGGCAGGTTTCAAGAGTATTAAATTTACATGAAGGGAAAAATACATATAATTGAGAAATATAATGAACACTGTCCTTTTAAATTTCTTCCCATTCTTGTTATTTACAGGTCCTTTAAATCAAGGCTTGGTGCCCTTAATTATGTAATATATAGTAGTTGGCCTCAGCCTAATATTATGTTATTGAATCCAAGAATGACATGAAAAAAAAGATGCATGCAACCAACGTACTGTTTTCAAAGTGAGGACAGGCTGATGAGAAATCCTCCTGGGAAAAAAATCGCATCAGGGACTGAAACAGATCCTTCTTTTTTTTCTTCTTTTTTTTCCGCCCCTTTTTCCCCCCCCCCCCCCCCTCAAGCAACAGAAGGTATCAAAAAATGAGCCTGATGAAAAGGCCAACGTTTCTCTTGCTTTCCTTTTTCTGATCTTTCTGTAGCCCAGAGTGCTAATCAGCCTGTCAATCTCTAATTAAAGAACAGCAGTGTCAGGCAGAAGAGAGCCCTGCTCGCTGAATGTTAACTAGCAAAGGGGATTTTGTGCCCGGCAGTGACAGCAAGGAGCCATGTCAGGAGGTGGGCTCGGGCGCAGGGGAGTGGTTCCAACGGGCTGATGAGCATTTCTGAGCCCGGGACAGCATCTGCTCGGGGACTGCTCATGGGAAGAAGGAGCGGGGCAGACTGGGGGGTGTAACGTGCTGCAGCTCGCAGTGCCGTGCCCTTCCTTGTGATGTTGGTGCTCCCAACAGCATTTCTTCCATGACACTAGTAAAAACCCTTTGGTTCCTCCCAGCTTCTCATTATGGAAAGTGCTGGTCACCTACAGCGTAGCTGGGGAGCTGATGATCGACTTCTTTCTGTAGCAGCAGCAGAAGAGCTGACCCTCTGCTGCAACAGCCGGGATTAGCCCCAGGACTTTATATGTCATTCTAGTGCTGGCAAGCTCGAGGGAGCACGAAGCACACGTCCAACCCAGATCTGGGTGACCTTCTGCTCCCATTACTGCACAGTAAATAGTTGCACTCTGCCTGCGACTGCATGAAGAACGGAGGAGTCGGCTTGCTTTTTCCTGCCCTTTGTATGTAGCAGGATGCACAGTGCAAACCCTCGATGCAGGCTGGGGAGGGCTGAGGCTTTTTATTACAGGTTTATAGAGTAACTCAGGTTGGAAGAGACCTCAGGAGGTCATCTAGTCTTCTCTTGGCCATTTTGCTGCTCTACTCTGCTGAAGTCAAGTAGGACATCTGCCAGTTCAGAATAACTAAAAGTTCAGCCTCTTCCTTTTTTAGCGGTATTTCTGTTAACTTACAGAAGGATAGAGATGATCCAGCCTCTCAAGGAGTAGCTTGGACAACAATGGAAAAGGAAAAGAAAATTTTTTCCTAGTTTTGTATAGGATTAGAGGGATCCAGGCCTAGGACTGGCTTTAGAGAGGGGCTGGGAGAGGCACTGCAGAAAGCCTGCCTCAAGTCGGGTCCAAATCTCGAGGCGTGCTGGGGTAGTGGTGTTAGCAGTGGAGCAGAAAAGCAAATGCTTCCCTTCTTGCCCGCCACCCTGCAACTGACCCCACGAGCCTCCCCAGCAGGGACGCTCCACCAACAGAAGACGGTTCATGCTGTTCAAAGAGGTGATATAACTGTGTCGGGAAAAAAATGCCTTTCAAGGTTCATTGCATCTGCTCCAGGAGGTCTGGCAGCACAGCCACGCTGCTGTATTGCTGTAGCAGCCGAGGGCTTGAGGAACAGGCAGGGCCGTGGAGATGCTGCTCTTGGGGGCTGAAGGCTGACCAGCCGTCTGCTAGTCCAAAACTATTTGCAATATATATTTCCAAATTTGCTAACCCAGCACTGGAAATCATCTATTTCTAGCCTATAGACTATATATATAAATTGTTTTCCCAACATAAAAAATGCAATACAAATCCTATCATTTCAGATCTAAATTTTTTTGTTTTATATTGCTTGCAGGGACTACACAGTTTGGATTCAGCTAATCAAGTAGAAGTGTTTACAGAGTCTTCTGTCTGTCCTCAGGCTTGAGATGCTACCACAGGAGGAAAAGACAAAACTGGCTTTCTATTTTTAGCAGCCAGCCTCTTCTAGGCTCGCCCCCTCTCATAAAAGCTCCCATCCATAGGCTTGTATGAATCTTCTCCATATAAACTCATGTTTAGCCAGGAAAGCCCACAATTTCTGGAGCTGGTGTGTTTTCTTCAGAGGCTTCTTGTTCAAGGGCTTGCGTATACCTGAGCCGTGGCAGCAGCGCACAGTCCCCGGTTTCTGGCCAGGAGGTACCATGGCTGAAATTGGACCCTGGCACCACGCTCTTGAGACATTCAAGCCCATCCCTTCTGGGAACGGCCCTCTGTATTCCTGAGAAGTTATCCCTAATTAGGCCTTCAGATACCACAGCCACCAAAGTGAGACAGAGAGGTGGATAAATACCTCACTAAGGCGATTTGAAGGTCTGTGCTGCAGCATGATGATGCAGCGACTTAATGAAGTTGCTGTTGTCACAGGGCCCAAGGACTCAGGCAGTCGCTTGCAGTCAGTGCTGAGAGGTTAATTACACGTTTACCTGAACAGCAGTCTGAAATCCTCCCCAAGAAATTAGGAGTGGGGATGATTCTTGGTTGCTTTGGCACCCACAAGTGTAAGCACGACCAGAAAAGCGTGTCTAGATACCCCCCATAGCTGGCTGAACCTTTACAAGCTGTTTGCTGAGATTTTGAGATGGTCTTGTCCCAGAAATTGGTTCTAGTTTGGCATCAAAGCCAGAACTGCACTAGTTTCAGAGCCAGAAAGGAAAAAAAAAACCAAAGCCTTTCTCTCACTTGCTCCTGAATCCTGCTCCTTACCTCTTAGCTGCAGTCATCCTGATTCTTTCTGTGGTGTTTCGGAGTGAGAAAGACACTGAGATGCCCACAGGGCAGGTGGTGGTGAATTCACCCATTTTTAATAAATAGATTTTAATTAACTTTTTAAAAAGTCCAGCTCATCCCAGTTAGTGGAGGGTGACTGCATTTGTTCTCTCAGAGAGTGGGAGAGAGTGCGCTGTTTTTTCAAGACCATCTGCTCATGAATCCTTAAAAAAAATCGGAGAGGAAAACAAGCATTAGCCGGAGGCAGAGAAAGGGTGAGGGCATTCTGGCAGCCGGCTGGGAAGGCCTTGCCAGCCAGGGGGGCCGGAGGAGCCGGGGTGGTCCTGACAGTTTTTTGGAGATGGGGAGCTCTAATGAGCTATGGGAGAAGGCACTGTCATTGCCTGAATGAGTGGGAAGAGAGGCAACAATCTGGAGGGGCGAGTTTTGGCAGCCTCACGGGTGGGGGAATTGATATCCCGGCGTTGCTGACTTGGGTAGCTGGCCTGAGATCTCAGGAGGGGATGTGTGTTGGGATGCTGTTTTAAAGGGCGGGGATGCCAGGGAATTTGCTACCCTGAATACAAAGTGGCTCTGCCGTGGGCAGGAGGAAGGGGCTTCACTCTCAGGATGCCACCGGCACCTGTGGTGAGACCCAGGGCCTGGTGGTACCTGGAGAGGGGGGAACAGGGACAGTGGCTGGAGCAGTCCTGCTGTTTTGTTTGTCATTGCGATGTGAACCGTGATGACCATGCTCTGAGTGTCCATGCTTCTACTTCATTTATTTCCCTTCCTTCAGAATTATCCCCTATCTCCAGTTTTAGGTCCAAAGTCAGACGGGGCAGCTTTGAGAGCTGCAGAAGGGCCAAAATCTTATTTAATTATTGCTCCTCCCTGTCCTGCAAAGAGAAATGTATCCACTGCCCTGGCTGAGAGCGGCGGTTCACTCGGCCTCGTTCTCTGTGCCCTCTAGGGAGACGATATCTTGGACCGCAGCTCCGAGTTGATCTACACAGGAGAGATGTCCTGGATTTACCAGCCTTATGGACGGAACCAGCAGCGTGTTTTCTTTCTCTTTGATCACCAGATGGTTCTCTGCAAGAAGGTAAGGACATCCAGGGAGAAAGCAGCATGGCTAAGGACATGCTGCGGACAGGCTTTCCAGTCCAAAGTAGTTTTTAGGGCAAGGTGGCTGTTTGCTGCACATGCAGAAGAGGACACGGGTAGCACTGAGGAAGGGCAATCCACATGCTAGAAATACTGAATTACAGGATGGTGAGTATACTGTCATAGAGAGGTTTTTATGCTCGTAGCAAATCCAGCCTCCACTTGTTCATTTCATGCCTTTTTCTCACGTGCCCCTCGTTTGGCTTGTTGCCTCACTTATACTTTTGGGTTTTGGCTGCAGCATATGATCTGGGATTAGATAGCCCTAGAATTTCTATATGAACTATGAAGCCTGACAAGTCAATTACTGCATTAAAATGATGTTCGCTGCCACTTGAAGAAATAGGCAGCAGCCTGGTCTGTAGCAGGGTATATGTGCTGTCACTTGGTGAAATGCTTTTTAAGCCTCGCCCTCGTGTAGCTGCTGTGCTGGTTTTTATAAGGCATATCTCTGCCGTGAAAGCCATCAGGAAGGTAGAAAAAGGTAGTGAAGAATACCGATGCTAATGTGTTGTAGTATTAATAGCAGCAGGTGAACTGTGTTTCGGAGCAGCTGTGTTAAGCAGCAGCATCATAGCTGTATTGCTGTAGTCCCGCTAAGGTGATCCCAGCTCATTACCATCACAACTGTTCGAAGCGAAGTGACAGAGCTCATAAGTCCTGGGTGCATCTGTGTTCTGACAGACGGGGATTCATGGACGTTTTCACTGCAGCTGTACAGATAACTGTGCAGAGGGAGTCCCCCGGACCGGCTTCAAGCGGGAGCGAGGGCAAGCTGCAGACGTCTCCGGCCAAACACAGCGGGGCTGCGTTCCTGTCACATCTCATATGCTAAGGAAAGGTCGAGCGAGACCCGCGCGGCATGGCAGCCCTCCGAGGAGTGCCCCACCGCCGCAGGAAGGGCGGGGGCGGGGGCGGGGGGGGCGCCTGGGGAATCGCGGCAATACCTCCCCGCGAGCGAGCCCCGCGCGGCTTGGCCGCCCCCCGGGGAGGGCCCCCCCGCCGCAGGAAGGGCGGGGGCGGGGGCGGGGGTGGCTCCTGACTCACCGCGGCATCACTGCCCGCTGCCGCGCTACGCGGAGCTGCGGCCTGTGCAGTTCAGTGGGTGGCACTTTCTTCTCCTGAGTCATGGTTGACTGAAATTTTGCCTTCTGGAATGCATGTGCTTGTTTTTCCCCTCCTCGTTGCTGTGCCTTTTACTTCTTTCCTGGTTCTGTAAAAAAAATAACTACAGACAACAATAACAGCGTCAGATGTTCAGAGAACTGTCAAAATGAGTCTGGAAGTACGCAGCTGGGTTTAATTTTTAATCTTGACCTCCTACACTTTGATTGTGGCCCTGAATTTCCGACTCATATGGCAGCATCCAGTTTGGCTTGCACTGGGTCTGATCCAGAGAGGTATCGAGCGTTCCCTTAACTCCTGGGAAAATCAGAGCTGGGATTTCCGTGGTCATCAGTATGAGCAGAGAGCGTTCAGCGATTCACAGCAGGCTGCCGGGGGCTCAAAAGCTTGTATCGATGTGCAAACAGCGTTAGTGTGACGCTGTCCTCTTCCCTTATGTATTCAAAAGGCATTTTGTGGTGTGAGTATGGCAACGCTGCACAAGAGGTGCCGTCACAGGAAAACGCCATGCAGATTTTAGCTGTCTCGGCAGCAGCACGGGCTTCTGGGTCTTCCTGGCAGAGAGATTGGCTCTATGTCAGGATCTGGCAGGCTCTTCTGCCAGTAGCCGAGGTCTTGTGGGACAGGGTGCTCACTGAGCTTTAGGGTGACAGGGCAGAAGGTGGTAACTCATCTGGTGAGCCTGATGCCATGCCCACAGGGTTCATACCTCGTTGGAGGTTCTCCTTCTGCATCTCTTTTTCCAGCGTCAACCTGCAGCTGTTATTCTTCGGAGTGTTGGGGTAGGAGGGGAGACGGGGTTACAGCTGGACTCTCCCATCTTGATAATGTTTTCCTTGAACGTTGCTAAGAAAGATTGTCTGAGCATGGAATTCAGAGGAGCGGTAGCTCACATTTTGGGATCACGCATCCTGTATAAAATAAATCTGAATGATTTATAGCCTTTGTTGTCTTGACCCTTGTGTCAGGCTTTGCTGTTACAGATCCCAACAGGCCACCATCTAGCAGGATAGCCTCTGCTTCACAGCCAGAGTGCTATATCCTGAGGCTTTCTTACTGAAGCACCATTTATATCAAGGTGTGGGAAGCTGGGGCCAGCCTTCTTTACCCTATGCTTTAAAATTATTTTCTGAGGGAGACGAAGTATGACCCACGCATCTCCGAGAGCAGGGAGAAGACAGGAGGTCTGTGGGGGGGTGCTGGTGCTCCAGCTCCGGCTGGCCAGCAGCAGGAATTAAAGTGCTTGAGCGTGGTGTGAGCTTGCAATATGCTTTCATGTCCCACTTGAACAAACCCGCAGGGAACTGGAGTTGTCTGAGTCCAGAAGGGAAAGTTTGAGATTTCCAGAAGGTTTCACAGTTCCGACTGGTCCAGGGCTGCCAGCTCCTCTGCCTTGTGCACAGGGAGAATTGTCCTTTGGAGGTTTGCAAAGCAGCGCATTGAACAGCACCCCTCCTATTCCAGACACAGGCAATGAGCACATTTGTGGACAACCTGACCTATGTTTTGCATGAGGTTTGTTTAGTTAGTGACCCTGATCACAGTTTTCACCTCTGGTACCACTTACGATGGCACATCTCAGTGAATCTTCCTCTTCAGAAAATCTTCTGCATACGTGGGTTTTCTTCAGATATAATAAACTAGTAGGTATGATACATCCTTAATCATGACACGGTCTATTTGAGAATACATTTTTTTTTTAATTATAATGGTTGAATTTTATCTCTTCATTGGTCAAGAGATTTTTAATAGAAATAAAGGAACTAAACCCAATTCCTTATTTAAATATATCGCAGATACTTTAGTTTGATGAAAGCATGCTAGATACCCTGCGAGGCTCTAGAAGACAGGCATATATTTCGAACAAGATCTCCCACTCCTCCAGATCTTCGCTACAATTATCTGCACATCGTCCTCGCCTTCGTTACCTGTTGTCTCCCTGGTAGATGTCTGCAGCTGCAGCAGCCCTGTGCTCGTGAATCCCATAGTAATGCATATGGATTCTGTGGTTTGACGGATACTGATACACGAGTTTCTGATGGAACAGATACAGTTCGGTGTCATAACCTCTGTGGCAGTTTTGGATGTTGGTATTCTCTGTCGTTCCCTTTGAACTCCATTGTCTGCAAAGCTCTTTCCACAGTGGGCTCACCTTGCAAAGACTGTCAGATTCCTGCTCCCTAGTTCGTGCAGTGGAAGATGAAATAATTTCTATGTGGCAAAACGGGCTGGAATCAGCTTCAGCCCGGTAGGCTAAGGTGAGGTTTTAGTGGCATTCACTGATACCAGTAGCTGCATGTTAGGTCCAGGAAGATGGTATATGAATTCCTGCAAAATCTGGACAAGTGCTGGTGAAAGCCAGTTTTTCTTTTCCTGCAAAAATGTCAGCAGCATTCTGCTTCCAGCCAGCCGATGTGCTGCGTCTATCAGTCCCCAGGGAGCAGACTGCTGCGTGCATGCCCGCAACCCTTGTTTGTGCCTGCATTGCAAGCTGCTGACGCTTTGGGCAGGCTGTATTGCCGCTGAACCCAGGCCGAGCATTAAAAAATTCTATCTATAGCCAAGGTAACAACTCCTTTTGTACCCCTTATTTAAGGTGAGCGCTGTGTGCAAAGTTAGTATCTCCCCCCGTCCCCATTTAAGTTTGGGTTTCTTCACAGCAGTTTTGCTATCAGTTAGTAAATGAGGGCTGCTCGAGTTTCCTTTGTGTGGCTCTAAAGACAAGGCACAATCCACAGTCTCAGAAAACATCATCTTTTTTTTTTTTTTTATACGTTGGATCACATTTGTTCTCAGGACTCCGATGATATGCTACCAAGAATTACCAAGTTTCTTTTTCCCACTGATGCATGCAGTGTTGCCTGTGCCTAAGGAATAAGGTCTGTTGGCTCTGGTGGTATTTCTAGTACCCAGCTATCTGCTTTCAGCAGCAGTTAACATATTTCCAAATAAACCCCTGTCTGCTTTGAATATGACCTACTTTCCAGAAGCTTTGCCATCCCTTTCTGTTGATGTCTGAAAATGTTTCAAGGTTATGGGGCCTTTTTTTGTTGAACATCTGGCCAAGACATTTCTGTGAGGGAGGATAACTCAGGGTGATTCTTCCTGAGATTATCACCTAGTTTTTCCCCTGCTTGATACGCCTGCAGAAGATCGCCAGCAATGCCAGGCCAGCCATCAGACAGACAGGAGCTCGCTGATCAGCATTCACCGCATTTATTGGTTGTTCCCAAACATTTCGAGCAAGGTTTCAGCACCTGCCTGGCCTTTTGAAACCGCGGGTGTCCACAGATCTTTGCAGGTTGGAATCACCCCCTTGTATCCCATTGCTCACTCCTCTCATAAAGGTGACCTGCTGCTCAGCAGATGGGTAGGATGGACTGAGAGCTGCTGGTGGGAGCGGTTCCTCCAACGTGAATGTCCTTGTCATCTTCCCACTTGGCTGCATCTCCTAGGATTTTTCCAAGGGCTTTTGCAATGTGAGCCAAGCCAAGGGTCTGTCTTTGCAAACGGGCATATGGGCAGCTGGGTGATTACCTGGTTGATGGTTTGTTTGCGTGCAAAGAACCAGATATTAGTATGGTCATTAATATGACTATATTGGACTCTGTGACTCTGTTAGTAGGACTATAACGCACTAGTCACGAATACATTTCAGCTGTCAGGAAAGGAGCGATGGCACTGGTCGGATCCAGCGGCAAAGCTCAGACCCTTCCCTGGTTGCCAGTGTAAGTTCCACTGCCTCAGACTGAGAAATCCCGAATGCATTTCTGTGACCACCACGGCTTGGAGAACTGACAGGACTTCAGAGAC